GATGTACAGTTTAATCTCACACATAAATTTCCACGAAGCCTGGCCTAAAAATTTTCAGAATATTGAGTCTCAAATTTTTAACTGTTTCAACCTCATTCCCTAATGGCATGTCCCTACCCTGGACTGATTACCTCTAAAGGAATGCAGTGTTCAGCAGGTGAAAAAACATTATCCATCCCTGCTGTCAACACTAGAGCTATCTTGAGAAATGATTAAGATATTCTTTCACTACAGCAAATGGTTCTGTGGTTTTTCATTAATCCTGTTCACACCAGTGAAGAATGTTCTGCAGACTGTTTAGTCAAATTCTACTTATTATGAAGTACAGCATTATGCTAACTCTAATATAATGTCAACTACTGACAAACACTACAGTTTAACAAAACTCTAGAACCAGCTTCTAATTTTCACAGATCATTATGATCAATATATAGCAATATGACTGCTTTGCAGTTGTATGTCTGACACTTGACCAGCCTTGTTCCTACAAAGAAAGTTATATCCATTAACCCAACCATGATTCAAGAAAGTATACAAATGTAAGTCCACAATGATCATTACGATTATATTAAATTATATAGGTTTGATATCCAAGGGTTGATAGATAACTGGTTGATATGCAAAGTAAAAAGGTGACCAGATTAAATAAAATTCCTTTATTCCAAGAGCAATTATTTTTGTCCTATTTCTAGTAGGACTGAAATCTCATTCTAGCCTACATTGATTTAACAGTTCTGTCATTGCTGCAATAAACATCCATTAAGGGGACCTGGAACAGAATAAACTATGCAAAGCTACTTCAAATAAAGGAACATTTTAACATATCAAGTATTGCACAAAGCAGCAATATTCATTGGCTTAATGAACATCAACCTTAAAACTATTAAAACAACAAGACAACAGTATTCGAGCTGCTCCAAACCCTGCAAAGATAATATTTTTCTTAGGACTTTGAAAACTTTAGCTGAAAGAAACTTGAAGTGCCTCTTGTGAGTTTTAAGTTTGCACGACATTGCAATGCATTGTGGGTAACTAAATATGGTGGTTGTTTTTTTAAAAAGCGTGAACCTGGACTGGAAGCAGTATCTGACTGTTTCCCACAGGAAACTTTGTTTGTGGGCCACAAAGCAGCTCTGCCAACAGATGGCTTGTTTTATGGTTGATGTACCTATGACAGGTTGCTGTTTCATCTGAACCTGGGTGACTGAACCCTATCACAAGTATAGGGAGGCAGCGAGTGAGTATTGAGCAAGAGAGCAAAATCTCCTTGCTGAGCTTTCACTGGCCACCATTAGTGATAGCCACTTTGGCGTGACCATACTGTATCAGTCTCCACCATGCAAAGCTCAACCCCTTCTGTGATAACTGTAGCTGTTTCACCCTTTTTTCTCAGACTGTTTTCATGATCTCTAAAGTGATAGATATTGATAACTTCTTCAAAGTGCTTTAGCAGCACACTGGAGCAGCTGTCACTGGTTCATTTATTCCTTTTCTTGTGTCTCTGGTTTGCACAAATTGGTTAATAGTTTTTTAAAAAAGACTATGTGCTGATAGTTCAAAGTTGCACAAATACGCAACTACAGCTATCCCAAATGCTGTGCTATTGTGCTCTTTCCATGAAGGTAAGCACTTTCCTGCTAGACTATGTAAACACACAGAAAACCTCTTAATAAACAGAACAAGTAAACACATTCCTATTCTGTGAGACCCTATCAATTCAAAGGCCATCTCTTTATTTTTTCTATGATTATATTAGTGTTCTCATTACCCTCTATGGGTAATGAACATGATTCCCACTTTCGTTATTTAAAGAAGAGGACAGATAAAGCCAGGATCTTCCTGCTCTTTCTCCCTGCTACATCAAATAACATGTCACCATATTTTGCAAATCTGGGATCCATGCTCATCTTCTCCTAGGATATATACATAAATGCATTGTTCCAAAGTTACATGGTACAGATTTGTGAAGAAAATAGACGCTCTAAGAGTGGTGGGAAAAAGCAGTTGACAGAAAAGGTGAGCAGGCTCATAGCAACCATGGAGGTGAAACACAGCTGGTCTCTACACTTGACTTTTGAGGCCCCATAGCCTGGTCTGACATTGTAGCCACAAATGCCTTCTCCCACACAAATGTGAAGAACCTAAGGGAGCAGTTGTCACAGGTATGTTCAGTGAACATCAGGTAAAATCTTGCCCTGGAGATCCTAGATATAAGGCTGAAGTTAGCAGCAGCTAATTACTGCACACAGAAGCCCAAGAACAAGAAACACCAATTAGTTATGTTTACATACACCAGTCCTAAATGAACTTTGCCAGGTTGCCCTGGTTCATGTGCAGGAGTGGAAATTTTCAAACTTTTAGGAAAGGTCACAACTTTGCAACCCTTATTTGGTTAGCCTGTTCTGCCATTTGTGATGACTCTGACAGCAGTCCCAAACTCTTCAGCCCACAACAGTTACTGAGGCCATCTGGGAATCTCTAGTCTTGTCATGTTAGACATAGCACATTATTGTGTCTTAGTAACTTCAGGGAAAATATAAGAATCCTGGGCTCTGAGTTTATCCAATCAAATCCTTTTCTGACTGTTCAACCAGTAACATATATTAAACATGCTACTGGAATCACGTTAGTCTCCTGGCCTCTCCCCATTCATGACAGGATCCCAAACTGCTGTCCAGAGCATGGAAAATATGAGCTTGCTGTGGCTACCAAAGGGCCAGATAACTCCTTCATTCATCCTAGACATGCCAAGAAAGACACCGCTTCTGCTGGCCTTTGGAAGCTGAGGTATCACTGCCAAAAGGCAGGTAACACATTATTCTGCCACCCTGCTTCTCCACATTTTACCCAGGCTCCCCACAGCCAGGCCACCTAGTTTCTTACCTTGCCATGGCAGAAACCTGTTTCACACCTCTCTTTAGTCATCTCTATTACAAGATAAGTGAAAATAAATACAAATTCAGGAAAAAATAGCAAGTACTAATGCTGGCCTGGAAAACTGACAAAACCAACTTTTTCTATAGAATGTTTATTTCTTAAGCACCCAAAATACAATGAAAAAGCTAGGAAGTAAACAGCCCATTAGCATTCTCAATCAAATCTATAGTATTAATTTCCTTCTACTCTTTTGTGTATTCCACACAACCATGTGACAGCTGGGAAAAGCAGGACAGGAGCTGGCTTAAAATCAGCCATGTTCCAAAGCACAGCCTCATTTAAAAAAACTACTTTCTAGCTCACATGACTGTGAAGAGAAATAACATACATGAGCAATGTCTTCTGAAAAAGAAAAGGTGAGTGTTTAAAATTCACCATTTAGCTTCCTTAAGCTCCACTCATTTGGAAAAAGGTTCTGGATACACAACACAAGCCCAGGAGCATTAAAAAGTGATTCCTGTTTGAGAAGTGATACCAAGATACCAAACAACATGAGCAATTCAATACTCTATCGAAACATAGGACTAGCTGTAAAAAATAGAACACAATTTTTTAAAACTGTGGCAAAAAGTATGAATCACACTTTTTGCCTTAATGAACAGCTTTCTATATTTAACTCTGTATAAAAACTAAGCATTTCTGACTAGTGTGGAAGACATGTAGATTCTTTTATTTCATATACCATGCTGCAACATTTAATCAGTTTGTTTAAACAGTTAAAGACATTTAGATCTTAACTTGCCCCCAACTAAGTTCTAGATATTAACAATATTTTATTCCAAAACCTTGCAGACTCAGAGCATTCACCATTTCTTGTGTCATGAGTGCCTGTAAGACGCTTGCTGTAAAATGTCCCTGTGTATAATAAAAAGTATGCCCTTTGTTTTACTCATGTGCAAATTCAAACTGATTGCTTTTTTAATCAGCTGACATATCTAACCTTACTGATATACTGGAAGAACAAAAGAGAAAATGTAGGAAGTAATACAAAAATATCACTTCCTGATATATATTGCAATAGTCTGTTTAGGCTAATTCAAAATCACAAGAAGTTTACAAGCTTGCATCTCTCTTCAACGGACAAGATAGATTTACGTATGTATGTATGTATGTATGTATTTATTTAGGGGACTTCTATGCCGCCCTGTTCGCCGAAGCCTCGGGGTGGCTCATAACCATAAATAAATAGAATCGATTAGGCTAATTCAAAATCACAAGAAGTGTATAAGCTTACATCTCTCTTCAACAGAAAGATTGATTGATTGATTGATTGATTGATTGATTGATTGATTTAGGGGACTTCTATGCCGCCCCATTCGCCGAAGCCTTGGGGCGGTTCACAACCATAAATAGAATCCAATAAAACAATATAAATTAACAATATAAATTAAGTTGCCCTGGCCAAAGAATAAAATAAATAAATAATATTAACAATTAAAATAACATTTGAATAAAAAGGTCTTCGCCTGGCGCCGAAAAATAACGATATTATTATTTTAAAGATATTAAAAAGGGCAGACTAGATGTTGAGATGTGAGAGCCAGTGTGGTGCAGTGGTTAAGAGCATGGGCCTGGGACTCAGACGATCTGGGTTCTAGTCCCCGCTCGGCCATGGAGACAACTGGGTGACTTTGGGCCAGTCACAGACTCTCAGCCCAACCTACCTCACAGGGTTGTTGTTGTGGAGATAAGATGGAGGAGGAGATGTAAGCTGCCTTGAGCCCTTTGTAGGAAAAAGGCAGGATATAAATCAATCAATCAATCAATCAGGTTGACTACTTGGTCAAGAGTCTTGAAATGATATGAAAGAGAAGAGACTGCAGATATTAAAATTAGGCTGTACCAGGTGAGGTGCTAGTGCAGGTTTCAGTGTCCCTAAGAACCACTGGGTAGAATAAAGTCACAGAAAATCGTGAATCCTCCATCTTTGTAGGAAGATTAGTGATGTGACTTGTTTCACACAAATAAAGCAGACAGTTCCTGTAACTGCTGCTTAAAGTAACCAAGCACACGCATACACAGGATTTAGAAGTGCATTATAGGGCTGAAAAAGAGAAGCTCACCTTAACAGCAAAGCTGCATTTCCCAGTCCGAACCCCTTCTTCATCTGTCTGCCACTGGTGTGGCCTACTGGCTTCAGGGACATAGACATCTTTCTTTCTCCTAAAACTCTGCCGTAATTTATTCATTGCTCAATGTTTGTGCCCTACAAGAAAAAAAGAAACACATTCAACAAAGTTAACTTTCCCCTTACCATACTGAAGGTCTTGGACAAATAAAGAACCAGGCTATCTTATTCCTCCAATTTAGAAAAATCCCATTAAATATTATACTTTCATAGGAGAAGGGGACTTTTTCATGGGCTCCTCCCATGGTGCTTCCATAGTTTAGTCCTTCTATTACTTTCTGTAAGGCTGTAGCATGAATAAATGCATCCTTGAAAACCCAATCTATGCCATGGTTAGAAGACATGGGGGTGGGGCATTCTTACTGCATGGGTTTGATCAAATGCATTCAGATAACCAAAGGGCATTCAGATAACCAAGCTCTTACACAATGCATGCAAATATTTCATGCATCCAACTTATTATTCTCCCAGCTTAGCTTTTATCTCCAGATGTAAGGAGACAATAGATCTCCTAAAGACTCCGAAATTAGGCTATGAATTAACTTATATGTTCTCCTACTTCCCAAAATAAAAGCAAGCCAAAGTATTCTACTTTAAGAACCGATGTTGATGCTTCAAGAATGGACATGTTCGGGAAATTATTTGCATATACAAATAGCTCTTCCTGTCACATCCATTCACAAGCAAGTTGCAGTTCTCTTAAAGCCACCATGGTTATATTGCATTTTTAAAAACAAACATCATCATTCAGTCTTTTAAACACCATTGTGATACAACAGAAGAAAAAGGCAGCTCAGATGTTACAGGAAACCATGACTTCCTCTTACACAAAATAGCTCTGCCTAACCTGAGTGCTTTTGCATCTTCTTCACCTCACCACCTCTTTCATACAGCAGGGGGAAGAACTTAAGAATAATACACTTCTGGTTTTAAATTAATCACTTATCTTCCCAAATCCCCAAGCATACAAAACCATTATTTTTAAACTATGATTTCAGAGCAAGTCAGGATCTGAAACTACCTCTAAATATTGCCTTGTGCTTGCATGCTATTTAACAATACACAGTTTAAGGGAACTGTGTTTTAAAATGGAAAGAAAAAGTCATTGGTCTACTTCTTCTGGGTGCTAAAGAGAAAAGCAGAAGAGGGATCATGCAAAGCTCACCACAGCAAAATACATGTAACAGAAAACCATTCTTTCTTGTTACATCTGCATTTGGTTTACGTTGTACCTGAAATACAGCGCACCTCTTACATGTGGATCTTCCTACTTGATTCCCTGGACTGGGGCTATACTTTCAAACTTCTATTAATACCTCCCCACTTTTCCCATGGGGGCTACAGAACAAAACAGTGAGTCAAGAGCCAGAAAAGCAAGAACAATCTGTTAGCTTAGATACATTCATATAAATAGAATATTCCATATAAATAGAACATTCCACTTTCCTTGCACACACAGAACATCAACTTTGCATTTCTCGGTATCAAAGAATGAAAGCCTTATTGAAATTTTCTAAAAGTACTCTGGGACTGTTTTAAGGGGATGTGGGGACTCATAATGATTCTTTTCAACCAAATTAAATGTTGAATTGCCTGGACAATCTCATCTAAGCATTATGGAAAATCACAACACAGGTGTTCTGAAATGGAACACAGGTGAAGACTATGCAGTTTTTTTGTAATCTAGCTTGTCTTTCACCTAGTCTACCTATATATTTCCAAATGAGACACTGGATGTTCACAAAATTTGAATATATTTTCCATCTCCTTTGTCATGTTAGTTCTTATTAATGAACTAAGAAAAAAGTTTAGGATAAATCACCAGCTTGTTGGAGATGTTTAAAAGCTTGTATGAACATTCCCTCTGGAAAAAGAGGGAAGCATTCTGCATAGTTTAATGAATTCATTCAGAATTACTCAGACTTGACATGTGAAGTTTATGTAGTATTTATGTAAAATAATATCAATACATTTCACCAAAAACACGTTTCACTCAAGTTACTAGCCTTCAAACAGAAGAACTTGATTAAAACAAAAACCAAAAAAAATGGCTCAACATCACTGTACAAATCACCCGCTTCCTCATGCTAGACAGGTATGCCAAGATACCACAGTGCCTCCTATGATACTAAAATGGGAATTACTATAGAAATTGATATTTTTGCAAAGCTGGACTATTATTTAGTATGAGCAGGGCAGTTCCCTTCTGCTTGTACGGCTTCATCCACAGTGTAAAAGACACCTTCCTTCCTTCATTCATTCACCGCTCAGGAAGTTACTTCTTTTGATGTATGCGCCTCGCTACTATTTTCCTAAGTTGAGCTCTTCTTCAGTCTCCTCATTCTGTCCTATTCTGACTTACCACAGTAGGTGTGCATGTTCAGACTATTCCCTAGCCAACTAGCCATAACTAATAATGCAGTTGGGAGGACTGCTCTGCCTTATTTCCAAATATGGCCCTGATCAGCTCCTCTGAGCCAATGATGACCTAGTGTTCAGCTGGTCATCTTAACAGTTAACTGTACACTGTAGGCTATTCATTAATTGCAGAAAACAGAATGTGTAGAATTCATTGTAGGAACAAGGGAGGAGCCAGAAGTAAACTAAGGAGGAATCTCATGAACCACTAAGAACAGGATAAAAGTCTGGCTTCAGAAACACAGTATCATAAGGAGATGCAAAGCAGCTGAAGACTGTTATATCCAAAATGACAAATTGAGACTGCTCATTTCCTTAATGTGAGCCACAATAAATTGAGGAATTACACTATACCAGGGGTTGGCAACCTGCGGCTCCAGAGCCACACATGGCTCTTGAATCCCTCTGCTGCAGCTCCGTCACCCAAAATACACATCACAGCCGCCGATCTGCCACCGAGGCTCCGAGTTACAAAATACCAATAGGTGATGATGAGGCATCCACCCAGGAATACTAAGCTAGCAGGTCAAGTAAATTGCAACATTGCAGGGAAAAAGTGGAACAAGCTTCCTGCAGGCTCTCATGTTACAGGAGCTGCGGAAAAGATTCTCTTTGTCCAAATGTAATCTCCTTCCTCTGAATGAATTGTGACAGGCTTGGGACCTGTCACAATTCACATCACTTGACTGTTTATCTGCTAATCAGTCACTAAACACACCTATATCTGCGACTTTCCCTGATAGGCCAACCATGGATAAATCAAAGAAAAGTTCAGTTTCTGAAGAAAACCAAATGTTTAATGATACGTGGGTAGATTCATTTGCTTTTACTGATGATGAACTTATGGGGTTTGCTGTTTAATACATGCAGCCCTTTAGCACTGACTTTGACTCTGCAGGAAGCTGTTCTCCTATTCAAAATATATGAAAGGAGCCCTACTAGTTTATAATGTAAGATTAAAAATAACAGTTTTTAGTGACTGAACAAGAGCTGCAGCTAAATCATAATGAAGATATACATAGTATTAAGGTAAAAAAACAATATATGCAGTGTTATCTTCATTTTAGATGTCAAAAAGGTTTTGCGGCTCCCGGTGTTTTCTTTTGTGTGGGAAACAGGTCCAAATGGCTCTTTGAGTGTTAAAGGCTGCCGACCGCTGCACTATACCATCAGTTATATACAGTGTTTTAAGCCACTACAACAGCGGTCCTCAAACTTTTTCAATAGGGGTCTAGTTGAAAGGCTGTGGTGACCTTTGCAGGCTGGTGAACATCCTTCATAGCCACTAGAGCTCTGTCCCAAAGTTCTTTTAAAGACGGCTTTCATTATTCTTCCTCACCTGCTTTGTAAACACCTGGCAGTGAGGGCATTTGTTGACTCGATGACCCTCACCCAAGCATAACAAGCAGAGTGAATGGCTATCTGTAGACAGCATTTTTACTCTGCAATTCGCACACTTTCTGAAGGCAGGACACTATCCCATCAAGGAGAAGAAGAAGAAAGAAGCAGAAAGGTAAGGTCAATAAAGGGCTTTTACAAAAAAATATGTGAGGGATAGAGGGTGGGGGGAGAAAGTGATGACGTGAGAGAGAAAAAAGGGATAAGTATAGGAATAAGTGAAGGTAGGAAGAAAAAACAAGAAAGAAATCTGAGGTATATCTGAAAGATTGTTAAAAGACAAGAGCAATGAGGGAGCCCAAAGCAAAGCGAACAGCAGTTCAAAGAGGTCTGACAAAGGGTGGGAACTCTGCCTATTTATATGAGGAGGCAAAGGAGGTGGGCTTCTGCCAAAACATCTAGAGCTGAGTGAATCTGAGTAAAGCTGAGGCTTCGGCAAGGGGTGGCATAGAAATGTTCTAATAATAATAATAATCTTCCCAAATACAGGCACTGTACAGGCACAGCACTCATATGTGTGTGCACATGCTGGTAACTTCTAGGTTCATTTCTGCCATGAGCTCTTACTTAGGGCTACACTTGAGCCAACTCTAGAAACTGTAGCTAGTACAAAACATGCAGCCAAGCTGATCTATGGGACATCATGAAGAACTATTGCTAATATTAAAATTTCTGCACTGGTTGCAAATTTGCTTCTGGATACAGCATAAGGCGTGGGAACTTACCTATAAAGCCTTTCATGGCTTGAGTCCAAAATAAATCTTCAGGAGCACTTTTGCCCATATATTCTGCCTCACCCACTATTGTCTTCTGGGGATTATCTTTTGAAGTTTACTTCTTCAAAATTAATGCCAACTACCCACAGGACTTTCTCAGTGGATGCCCCTAAACTACAGAACAGCTTGCAAGAAGAAATGCATCAGATATCCTAGATGGCTACCTTCAAGAGGGAGATAATTTTTCCAACAGGCCTTCTCAGAGTAGATCTCAGATTAGTTTTATTTAATATGCCTGCCTTTAATCTAGATTTTTAATTATTGTTGGTTTTAATTTGTTGTAAACCACCCAGAGCTTATGGGAATGGGGTGGTACATAAAAATTTAAATATGTAAATAAATAACCAGCATAGCAAGGGTGGCTCTACCATTCTGCAAATATAATTAAGACTGACAGTTTACCCACCAGGAAAGGATGATGGTATTTAACTTTGGTTATGGAATGATAAAACCATAAAGGACCTTTTTAAATTAAAATTTAATGCA